TGTAATTTCTGTTCAACTTCATAGACAAATATCTCTAAAGCATTTATAGTTTGAGACTTGTCATGCAACAGATAGATATAACCATAACGTGAAAAGTGATCAATAAATGTGATAAAACAATTTTCTCCACCAAATGATGGAACATCAAAAGGCCTACATATATCGGTGTGTATTATTTCAAGAAGCTCTGTCCTTGGTATGGATCATTTCTTTGTGTATTTGGTTTGTTTACCCTTAATACAATCCACATATATTTTGAGATCACTAAAGTCCAAGCTAGGAATGATTTCATTCTTTACTAATCTTTCTATCCAAACTTTGGATCTGCAACACAAACGTTTATGCCACAAGTTAGTAGGTCGTTCATTCAATAAATCACGTTTAGTACCAACATTATGATGCAAAGTTAAAAGTGTCTCGACAAAGAGGTTACCAAGCTTTAATTTATATAAGCCATCATAAAGAGTAGTAGAACCGATAAGATGATTTTCTTTAAACAAACTTAAACATTCATTTCCACCATTAAAGAAATATTCAGAAGAATCAAGTTTTGATAAGGAAACTAAATTGCGGAAAATAGAAAGTCCATAAAGAGTTTGAAATAAATCTAAATAATGTCCTGTATCTAAAATCAAATGGTAGGTTTCAATAGCTTCAACAGAATCGTTAACTCGATTGCCCATGAAAACAAATTCATTTGGATTTATGGTCCGGATTGAAAGGAATCCCTATATCGCATTGGTAACGTGAGTGGTACATCCGGAATCAATCCACCAAATATTATAAGGAACTTTTTCCAAATTAGATTCAAAACATACATAAGAAATAATCTTACCTTTACTTTCGAATCACGCTTTACATTTTAGGTAGTCCTTTTTATGGTGCCCATGTTTACGACAGAAATGACATGTATCTTTCTTGTGTTCTTTATTATGGATTTGGGCAGAAAACTCATTTATCTTTAGCGATCCTTGCTTAATGCCATTTCTAGACCTTTTGTTATATTTCTTTACGACTTCTTGATGACTTACAAGATGAACAAAATGAGTTCCTTGATTCTTAAGCATTGTCTCCTCTTGCACGAGCATACTGTGCAATTCATTCACATTCCATTTGTCTTTTAAGGTATTATAGTTCATATGGAATGGANTCTTAAGCCTTGTCTCCTCTTGCACCAGCATACTGTGCAATTCATTCATATCTCATTTGTCCTTTAAGGTATTATAGTTCATATGGAATGGACCATACTCAGGAGCCAAGGAGTTGATGATAAACTGTACCTAAAAAAAATTCATCCATAGTCATCCCAAGTGTCTAAAGTCTTGCTGCAATGTTACTCAATTCAGTAACTTGCTCATGCATTGTGCGAGAACTATCAAATTTGATGGTGGTTAGGGTACCCATCCATGTGCTAGCAAGTGATTTGTCAATTGTTTGGAAATGTTTTTTCACAAACTTCATATATCCCTAGCAATCACAGTTTTAGGGATAGTGGACTTGATAT